TCCTCTGGGTTCTCTGGTTTCTTCCTACTGTCCAAAAACATGCTGGTAGGTGGTTTGGTTACTCTAAATTGACCCTAGTTGTAATTGGGTCACATCCAGGGTGTATTCATGCATCACGTCCAGTGTTCCCAAGATAAGCTCTGGATTCACCAAGTGGTTAATGAAGATGAACGACTGAATTAATTTAACTTGTTTGTTAACTTTTTTAACATTAAAGTAATCTATACCTTCTTTAATTAGTGCTTATCAACGTCCTCGAGAGGTTTTTAAGTTTTACAGTTTCTTCGTCTGGGATAAAACCTAAGGAAGTAGACTGTCTGACTCCTTGAAGTCAGATACTGAGAAAGTTAACTGCAGTGGAGGTCTGAGTTGTCCTCAGTTCCTTCAATCTGTTTCAAACTCCTCAGAGGGCACTACTCATAACAGAAATGTCTTGAATAAGGAATTTAGGAGGGGAACGGAACAAAAATGCATAGCCAGAGCATAAAACGTACTTTTATTTGTGAATGTGAGAGGAATGCATGGTAACAGCTAAAAGAAAAAAAGCCAACAAGTATTCAGAAAGTAGGACTGACTTAACGAGCAGGGTGTCTAAGGAGGACCAAACAAATAAATAATTCAAATGAAAGTCAAATAGGAGCTGAGGTGGAGGTTTTTCTCATCTGTTTTTGCCTCTTCTGCTCAAAAAAGTGATCAGAGAACAATACTCTGGTGACTTTTAGCAGCACCTAATCAGGGCTTGATTAAACATCCTTTCAGAGAGGTAGGGATTAGGGGAAGTCTCCTCAGAGCTGGCCTGCCCTGCCAGGAGAGAAGAGCAGGGAACGTTTTAACATGCCAGTCAGACCATTGTTCTGTCATGTCCCCAGCTAAGAGCAGCAAACAAATCTCACTGCCAGATTGGAGCACTGCTATTCAAGGGCCTGGGAGGCCTTAGCCAGGGTTCTGCTGGAGAATCCATGCAAAATGGAGACCCAAAAAACTGGTGCAAAACATGCAGTGTGAGACATCTTCCCTGTGCTAATATGGTAGAGTTGGCCAGTCCTGACAGTTTCAGAGGACAGATTGCTGGTTCGAGGTATTGTACAGTATACTGACACATTTAGATTGTGCTGTAGCTCTGGAGCAGATCATCAATTACAGAAACTGAACATGTGGTCCAGATGCTATGTTTCATGGACTTCAATTTGCAACAGCTGTTTTCAAAAATTAAATTTGGCAGTGGCAAAATGTGCTTCTTTCAAATTAATGTGAAAAATGTATTTCTGTTAATTAATGATGACAGCATTTCATAAGATGCTTTATGATTAGGCAGAGGTCACTTTTGGCCTGATATGACTGCAGTATACATTCCTGAACAGTCCATAAATAAGTCCAGTTATTTTTGTAAATTATGTAAGCTTCCATTTTTACTTTTACTTATATATATATATATATATATATATATATATATATATAAGATTGTCCTTCCTTGGAACAGTTTTGGTAGGTACTAACCACTGCATACCCCACAATACCTGACATGCTGTGACCCAGTCACACTTGCCTATTTTTCCTGCTTCCTGCATTCCTGCTATATCTATATATATATATAGATAGATAGCCATTTGCATTTCTTATATTGAGACTATAATATTTTTTAATATATTCATATACTCTCTTTCATTCCCATATACTCCCATAAAAAATATGCATTTTGAATTTTATGTCCAAAGATTCAATGATTCACTCAAAGCATATCACTATATTAATCTATTTTAACCTGCTACTTTTTTTCATCCTTGCAAAAATAGCAATTGATTTAGCTGTTCTTGGAGTTTTGAGCTACACCACCAAATTGGAAAATAATTAGATATGAACTGAGAGCGCATGACTGCATTTTATTCTGAGAGCACTCATCTAACCAACCTTGTGATTCATTATTTCATCAGTTTATTTCCATATAGAAACCCAATGATTTCGGTATTGTTTGAATTATTACTGTCAGTAAAATATGTAGAGAGATTTGTCTTCATTTAATGGTTGATAACATAACTGCTAACTATTCACACAGTAATGTTGGAAAGTACTCCTGATAATGAACCTGTGAGATGAATAGCTGCCCATGTTAGTAGGCTCCATGGTCATGTAATGAGTTTTGGCCAGCTGAAGTTTGTTCACAAACTTTGCTTTCTAACTGTGAATTCTGTAATTGTAGATACCTCAAGCAAAACAGGCTTTTACTTGTCTATAACACTAACTGTAATTCAAAGGAAATTAAGGTTGGTTTTGAGAACATTTCAAATACTGCCTCTACAACCCACCCAATAGTGTAGTGTACTTCACTGTACACTACAGAGACATTGTTTGTGGATATTTAAAGATAAAGATAGGTGGCACTGAAGTGCAGTGGGTAGTATTATTTGATCCTGAGTTCTGTGCGGAGTGTCATGCTGTGTTTGACTGGGTGTCTTCTGGGAAAAACAATGTTGGTAGGTGGACTGGTGACTCTAAATTGCCCCTAGGTGTGAATGTGTGTCTGCCTGGTGCCCTGCGATGGACTGGCATCTTATCCAGGGAGTATTCCTGCCTCAGACCCAGTGTTTCCAGGACTGGCTTCAGATTCACTGCACCCTGACTAAGCAGTTACAGAAGATGAATGAATGCCTTTTAAAGATTTAACAAGATTCAACTATAGAAACAGCAAGAAGTTAAAAAAGTATAACAACAATATCTAAGGCAATTTCTACAGTAAATAAGGCTAATATTATTTTATGTCAGACTAGATCAGATCTCTCTTATTTAAGTGAATGCAAGGATTTATCTCTACCTAGTGTGAAAAATGATATTCAATTCCTTATGCCTTTTGAAAATGACAGCATTGTATGGTGTCAATTTATGGTCACAATTTCATTAACTGGACAAAGATGTGCTAGCTGAAAATGTCTGGCATTCATAAGTGCTGTTCTTGTGCTACAGGAGAAAGTGCAGTCAGGGTATGACATTGCTCTGGGCCTTTTATTCTCCTTGTTATGGTGTTAAACTATTTCATTTATTCGGTGTGAATCTTGCTGAGAGCTCACTTTGAGCTCATTCTTTGTATCAGAGGGAGAGAGGAGTCAGCACAGGAGGGACATAATGAAATTGCATAAATGTACTTGCACCCCGGAATCTAATTTATTTCTCTTGTTTATTATTGAAAGTCAGTCATTATGAAACATAGAGCTTTGGTACAGTCTGAATAGGAAGGGTTGTTTTGGGGTCCTTTAATTAAATGATTACCCCTTTATTCAATTTTGAGCTGGTTAGAGGGGGAAAGAAATGGTATTGTAATTGACAGATTATTATGGTTCCCAATACTAATATGTTGATGGCTGCTTGCAGGTTGTTGTGGCTGTGGTGAGTTCTTTTCCTCAGGTATAGAAATAGAGCAGGGTGTCAGTGAACATGTGTGGATATTCTGTTGCTTCTTCTTGTGCTGTTCATCTGCAATAAACTGATTTTTTATGGCTAAAATATGTAAATAATCTTTTTTAGTATAAAGTGTTTTCCCCTAATCGGGGCGTTCCTGCCCTGATTCCAGATTTTAGTCACATGAAAATGCTGTGACAGGCAGTAAAGTGTATCACTAACTCAAAAGCCAAAAACAAAAGTGTTTTTGGTAACTATTCAGAAATATACATTCCCCTCTAAATCTATCTAACTAGCTTTCATGTCCTGATATTTACATCCAGATCTGTTAAACAACGGAGAACATGGCACCTTTTGTTTGAACCAACCCATTTATCAAGTAATCAAAAAATATTGGAAGATGTGTCTGACGGGAGCTTCTTGTTGCCCAGGTGTGCCCTGTTAGAATTTTTGTTTAAACAATTAATAGCTCTGAATGTCTAGTCTTGGTTTGAGCCCTGGGTTTTGCCTGTGAAGACTGCATTTGTTGTTAAAAAGGATAAACCAACATGAAAACCAGAGAGCTATCTATGGGGGAAAAGCAAGCCATTTTGAAGCCGAGAAAATAGGGAAAACAGATCAGAGCCATTGCACAAGCACTGGGCATAGCCAATAAAACAATTTGGAATGTCCTGAAAAAGAAAGAAACCACTGGTGTACTAACAACTGGACATCGAACAGGTTGACCAAGGAAAACAATGGCAGTTGATGACAGAAACATCATGAGAGCTGTGAAGAAAAAAAACAAAAAAACAAGTCAGTGACATCACCAACAATCTCCACAGGGCAGGGGTGAAGGAATCCCAATGCACCATTTGAAGAAGACTTCGAGAGCAGAAATATAGAGGCCATACCAAAAAATGTAAACCACTCAGCAGCAGTAAGAATCAGAAGGCCAGATTGGAATTTGCAAAGAAATACAGAGATGAGCCACAAAAGTTCTGGAACCAAGATTAATCTCTACCAAAGTGATGGAAAGGCCAAAGTGTGGAGAAAGAAAGGATCTGCTCATGATCCAAAACAAACGAGCTCATCTGTCAAGCACGGTGGAGGTAGTGTCATGGCTTTGGCTTGCATGACTGCTTCTGGAACTGACTCACTAAACTTTATTTATGATGTAACTCTAGATGGTAGCAGCAGAATGAATTCAGAAGTCTACAGAAACATTCTGTCTGCCAGTTTACAGAGAAATGCATCCTAATGCAGTGTACAGTAATTGGGAAAAACTTCATCATACAGCAAGACAATGACCCAAACACACTGCCAACACAACAAAGGACTACATCAGGGGAAAAAAGTGGAAGGTTTTAGACTGGCCAAGTCAATCACCTTTTGCTCACCTAAAAATTGGGTGCTCTGCCACCAAAGGTGAAAAGCTGTTTAACACATCGAGATGTAAATATCAAAAGAATGAAAGCTGAAATTCTATCATCTCATATTCATCTCTTGATCTCAAATGTCTTCACTGTATAACAAAAACAAAGAATTGGCCCTGCCATTCCAGTACTTTTGGAGGGGACTGTGTAGCGATAAGGATTATGTACTAGGTACTAAGGCAACTCTGACTGGGTTCACTGGAGGATTAGTGGTTAGGCCACGGCACTCTCACCCCCATGCCCGGGTTCAATTCCCAGCCAGGGAACCAACCCCAGTGTACTCCCAGTGCCGGTCCCATGCCTGGATAAAATTGAGGAGGGTTGCGTCAGGAAGAGCATCCAGTGTAAATACTGTGCCAAATCAAATATACAGAATAATGATCCAATGTGGCGACCCTTAATGGGAGCAGCCGAAAGAAGAAGAATAACAACTAAAACAATGTTGACTCTGAAAAATTCAGCTTAGTTTGACCTGCTACTAAGTGCCAAAGCACAGGTCAAGCCGGTCATGCCGTTAGACAATCTTTACCAGATGGTAAGTGCTGATAGAAAAGGAAAAGTTCCTGAATTTTGATTTTGTTTACCATGACTAATTCTACTTCATAGACAAGTTATTTTTAACAAAGTAAGACACAGCCATAAAGTGATTAGAACATTTAATAAGAAACCTGGAAAATAACATATAAGCTGGTAAAGATGGTCTATGAATTTGACTGGCTTAACTTGTGTTTTGGCAGCTGGCAGCAGGTAAGACTAAGCTGGATTTTTTTTTTTTTTAGCAGGACCAGGTGCCCTTAATGATCAGGGGTGTGTTTGTGCTCCCGTGTGTACTTGAGTTTGTCTAAACATACAATGCCTTTGTCAGAGCAAAGCAGTCAGTGTTTGTCTCCAGGTGATTGTCAGAAGCATTGATCAATGAGGATGTGAAGTGGCTTATCTCTGGAGTTGTGTGTCAATATCATCACCATCTCTGTAAGCCCTCTGATAAACAATGTTTCAGGAAACACGCAGATACTGATAATAAGTGGCATTTGGTGACATCTCACTTCTCCTTTCTAGGAAGTGTTTAATCTATAGAGTTGTTTATCTGGAGGAGACAGATTCTTTGTAGCAATAGTTTGTAGCAAATGCATTCTTATGAGATGAGTGGTACATAATGATGATTATGTAAACAAGTTTAGATAAACTAGTCATTTTTTTTCTGAGAGAAACACATCTGCCTGTTTGGAAATCAACAGGAGTCAAGCCTTTTTGTCAATTTTGTCACTTTTCTATGCATAAACAAATTTATGATAGAAATTTTTCTGATGGGTCTTATTTAGATAACCAACAGACCAACAGGGGTATTGCAAAAAAAAAAAAAACTATTTACACACGCCTGTGTTGTATAAGATTTAATGTAGTGTGAAATTAAAAAACCTCACCAAAAACATTCCCAACATGTAAAAGCAGCGTGCTACCCATTCATGATATTTATGCTTGGCTACTAACAGATGAGCCTATCCATTGCAAAAATGCATTACTGTCCAAATCAGTTATGAAAGACGGGTTGTTCGAAAGGAAAGGAAAAGTCTAGCAGTAAGATCAGAGGCCGTCATTGCTGTTCTGGAACTCTCTTTGTTCAAAACTGATCCTAGTCCTAGTATGTGGCAAATCTGTGCCATTTTAAATGGTTATTAAATTCTGTAGTCAGACTACAACACTGTGGGATTTTTTTAGAAATCTAGAAATAAAATTATGGGACACATCGACAGAATATAAATAGGCATGCCTGTTCTGTAGCAAGACAGCCCCTATACTGAATTACTTATATATGTACATATATCACGTACCACTTTAGCACTGTAAAAGTTCAGAGGCAGATATTTGTGTCAGACCTCTGTTTAATCTAATCTGATCCAAGCTATTTTCAGATGACAAATGAAAGATGTATGAGAAATTCCTAGATCATTTTTAAATGAATAATGAAATCTCTGACCTGGGCATAAACCAACCTGCTATCTTCACATGGAATTCATATTACCAGAATCTAAAATGAAAAATCAGTTATTATGTACACCTTAGGCTGAAAGAGGTATATTAAAATTTAGTGCTCCTGACACATTTTGGTTAAACAAATGAAAGTTAAACAAAAGTTTGTATTAACTATTAACTATTAACTACTAACTAGCAACTGATGTGGACAATTGTTGCAATATATGGTCAGTGGACTGCATGAATGCCATATCATGAGCATCAACTTAATCTGTCACTCAGATATCTTGCATTCCTCAGATATCTCTTCTTCGCTAATATGATAAAGTTTCATAATTGGGTATTTTCACTGTACGTGAGTGATGTCATACAGCAGCCTGGTTATTTGGTGCATAGCATTCTGGGCAGCCATTTGTCACTGTGAGTTATGCTGCTATAATTGCACTGTGCCTCTGGGCTAGACCTTGGGGAGCATGGCCTTGTCAAGGTGCATTCATGGCAGGTTACGTTGCTTTGCCTTTATTGATCAGGTGCCGGATGGAAATCTGGCTGAGCACAGGCTCTGCCAATTGACATTTTGATACCAGCTTTACTATGAATAAGGTTATAATATGCAGTAAATGCCTCAATTATATGGCCTTCTTCTGCATTAGACACTAGTGATGTTTGCAGGGCTGAGGGAAATGTTTGTAAAAGTTTGTATTTTTAGAAACTTCTTATCTACACCTTATTTTTGAGCATATTGTGAACAAAATTATAACTGCTTGTGAACAAGGCCAAGAAATTACTGTGCAAGAAATTTCGCTTGAGTTCAGTCAGCTCCTGCTGTAGTCCTGCCCACGCCTACACACCTACTAACACATTCAGGCACACCAGTATCCACCCTTGTCTAAGCTTATTTGGATCTCTGCTTAGGAGCTGTATGAATTTTGTTTTCATCTCCAGGATCCATTTAGGTCTGTTATCAATTAGAAGCATTGATCAAACCAGCTTCGCTGCAGGTAATGTTCAGCGGTTTTCTGTCAACGTCTCGTTCTAAAGTCTTGGGAGGAAAAAAGAAAAATCAATAGTATGCTTTCATGTGCAATAAAATTGGTTGTTTTGTAGGAAAATGGCACAGTAATCAAGCTGTGTTAAACAGATGATGCTTATACCCAGTGAACATGGCTCATGAGGGCATTAAGTGTCCTATGTTAGACATTAACCAGAGGAAAAAATAGTGTGATTCTTTAAGGATGTGTACCATATGGCTTTGTTATCAAAGTAAGAATATCTGTTGATATGTACAAATGTAAATTATCTATCCATATGCCTATTTTGTACATTTCTAACATTGCTATCAACATCAGAATCAGGCATTATGGATATAGAAATATTGATAATAACCTCAATAAACTCAATATTAATGGTTCAAATCACAATGTATGTTTTCAGACAAAAGAACTGAGTGTCTCCAAACTGTGCACTGTAGATAACCAATTTGTGATGGCACATCTTGATATACATGCTTCCATAATATGTATGTCCTTTTCTCCTAATTTTCAGTAGATTTGCAATTACAGAGTAGTATGTCTGAGTGAAAATAGGAGATTGTTAATACAGGTCACGATGCTCACAGGTCAGTTATAGATGAGATGGTATATTTGTGATGGGCTGGTAATCATTCTGTATTCCTGAGCTGCTGAAACGGACCTGCCAGAAAGTTGATATCATAAAAATGGAGCTCTCGTTGATCTGCCATGCTAATAGTGACAGAGCAGTGTTCTGCAGCTAAGCGGAGAATGACTCTGTGTTTGTGACACACCTGACCGGAGCATGTTGACCAGAGCTGACAGCGCTCGTTACCCTGTCTGCTCATGGCTGTGTGTCCTTTACAAAGCCCAGTGCTGCCGAAGTGCCTGTCATTCGCCCATCCTGGAGGAGATTAACAGCTTGTCACACTCCCCCCACAGCTAAAAATATTCTGTCTGCACTGCTGGAGGGCTGGCCAAGCGGAACGGGCTGACGGCTTGCCTCCTGTCTTGCTCTGATTGTCCCTCCCTGTCCCGAACAGCCTGAGCTGTCCCATCTCGCCTAACGTGACCTTTAGCTAGGCGTCTGCCCGCACACTGGGCCTGTCTGTCCACTGCTGCTTGGCTGTCAGATCCTTGTATGTCGTTCTTCTACTCCACTGAGAGCCGCCGGTCATGCTGCTCCTCTGCGACAACCTCTGACCTGTTTCTGTCTGTGGTGGGCTTGGAGAGACAGACCACATCAATATCTTGTATGTAAATCAAAAGATGCATTTAAAATTCTTTGAAATCAATTTGGTTAATAAATAAGCTGCAGAGATGAAGAGAGGTTGTTGTTTCGAAAGCCGTGTTTAGACTTAGATTCGGATTTAGTTTCAGAAAGTTTTGCTTATGATCAATAACTCCTTTTTTGTATTGGACCTTTAAAGAATAATTGGCGGCATTAAGCTATGGAAAAGGGCTTGTTTTGTATTGGCGTCACTTTTAAGGGAAGGGTTCTATGGCTAGACTAAAGCTTACGTTTATTCTGGGTCATACTGTATGATTACATTATTAGAAACATGTCAAGATGCAAATATTACATTTTATTATATGACCTGAGATCTGCTAATGTTGGCCTTCCAGAAATCCCCTCATGTAAAATCCAGACAAAATGGCGAGACCTTCTTTTGTTACTGTGTTTCTAAACTGCGCAACTCAAAAACCACTTTGCATTAAACAGTCAAGCTCTGCACACTCTTATAAAAAAGGATTTGAAATCAAATCTTTTTAATTTGGCATCTAATTAGACATTGGTATTAAATAAGTACTTCCTGTGGTTGGTTTGTTTTATTTTTATTTAACTACTTTCAACTTCTTGGAATGATCTTATTCTTTTTAATTGAATTTATTTTATTCTATTTTATGTACATTTCATTTTATTCAATATTTGTGCTCTTTCTAGTCTCTTATGCTTGTTTTTAGGGCCGAACATGGAAGCTGTGTAGACACCCTGTTGTAATTGTATGTTTTCTTCTTCTTTGTCTTCTTATAAGTCCACAGGGGTATCTATAGCATCCCACAGAATGCTTTGTACACTTTTTATGAAATTTGGCACGGTGATAGAGGACAGTCTCAGCTATCAGCACAGAACGTTTGGTGTATGCCTCTCAAGCACTCTAACACCACCAACAGGCCAAATCTGGACATAGGTTTTCTGATAATAACTCTGCAATGCAACAACGTAGAAATGTGATTCCATTTTCCTCTGATTCTTTGGGCCATGCTGAGTTTAACATAAC